GAAATCTCCCTCCAAGCTCAACTGGTGGCTTTACATCTGTGATTGGGCCTATGGAGACACAGCTCAGCCTAATTGCCTTCTTGTCAGCCCTGGCTTCCCTTTTGCTCTGCCCCAGACTGATTCCACTCCCTTTCCACTCTGGCAGGGACTCTTGTTTTTCAGTGCAGCTGAGAAAACCCTCTCAGTGATACTCATTGGGTACCTGAGGCCCTGAGTTCACAAGGCAATTTGCACCTCACCTTCTCCAGCCGAATCCTGTCTCCACACTTGATGTCCAACTCATTTTCAATTAGAATCAAGTCCTCAGCAGTCACTTTCCATTGGTGGCTGGCAAAGTGCACGACAGCAAAGAGCCGGCCATACTGGCCCCTGGCGATCAGCTCATTCACCTTCCTCACAACCTCTGCAGGGCAATAGCGGTGGCAATCACGCACTGGACAGGCTGCTGGCTGTCCACTGGGCTCCCTTGTGGGGAGTCTCCTGCAGTCTGTCTAGCCCCGCTTACCCACCCAATAGGCAGGTGGGGAGTGAGACTGGTGTGCTCAGGAGTGCTGGCAGATGTGTTACTTCTGTAGTTCTGGGGCACAGCCCTCATCTTGTCTTGCTTTTTTTTTTTTTAATCAGTTAAGAACAAGTGCATAAGTGGAGTATGATGACGCCTATAATCCCAGCATTTGGGAGGTTGAAGCAGGACTACAGTGAGTTTGAGTCCACGCCGGACCACACCCCACGGTGAAAAGTGTGCAGTCTAAGAAGTGAGGAGACCGTCCTTCTGCAGCCCAAGGAGCCAAATTCTATCTCCCTGACCTGGCAGAGCCTCCTGGGCCCCACACTCCTTCTCTGGCAGTGCCACCTGCCTTCCCTCCACATTCCTCTGTTCCCGTCATCACCACTCTGGCTCATGTCATAGTCTCTCAACAGATACCCATTGGGCACAGACCCAACCCCTGGGCCAGGGGCTGGACATGTAAGATGGACATGACAATTCCTGCCCTGGAGAAGGTCAAGGCCAAAAGCAGCTCCTGGCATCACCATGAGGATGAGCCTTCAGTGTCTGGCCAAGTTAGATTGAAGATATTCAGAAAACAACAAAACACAACACCCAAACCGGTACATGCACCAAACACACATAGACCTCTCCTGATGGTGGTACACTGAGCAGTGAGGGAGCACTGACACAAGTCTGTGCCGGACGTGCTTCTGAGAGGACAGGCAGGGTCTGTACAGGCTGCTCACAAACATTGCTGTTCCACGTCAGGGTACGGCAGTCATGGATTCTGCTATCTGTGGAAGTTCTCCAACCAAGCCCAGATCCCTAGGGGTGACTCTATTTATCTTGGGCAGGACCTCAAACAGTATTTTAAAACACCAGGAGATTCCCTGAAACGATGGAAACGTCTAGCTTTTGGGAAACTCTGATGTGACTTTTCAGCTGGCGAAAGCCACGCTGCCTTTCCTGACATATAGCCCAGGCTGGATGTGAACTTGTGCGCCTCCCAGCTGAGTACTGGGATGACAGGTGCGCACTGACACAAAGCATAGCTGAAGATGGAGGAGCACCCACTACCCCTCCCATCAGCCAGCTGCTTTCCAGCCAATGCTGGAAGGCTGTTTATCACATGAAGGCTCATCTTAAATGCTGGTGTTAACCAACCAACCAGGAGGACTCACATGCCCTGCAAGTTCAGAGCACTCATACCTGCCATCTTTCTCCACGGCAAGGATTACTTCAGTGGCTCACAGGAATGGGCACAGGTGCTGCCCATTTGTTTTCCTTTTTAGTCTTTTTTTTTTTTTTTTTTTTTTGAGATAGAGTCTCGCTTTGCTATAGCCTAAGCTGGTCTCAAACTCGCAGTAGTCCTTTTGCCCAAGCTTCCCAAGAGCTAGGGCTACAAATGCCATACTGCCCTGCCCCTGCAAAGTCTACCTGCGTGGTGTCTGGTCTCTTCAACAGGGTCCGGCAGAACCACTTCTGGCCAGGGTGGTGAACTCAGGGAGGTCTTAGGAACGTATCTGCAAAAGCATTTCATAAACACACATCACATGCCCAAGGCCTCAGGAAACAGCTGTGCAGTGAGCATCAGGAGGATATGTGTGCAAGCTTGCTATGGAGGGGTATAAGACCCACAAGGATCACGCTGACTCTTTAGCACTAACAAAGGCATTCCAACCAGTCTATCTCCAGGGGAACGTGCAGACCTCAGACCTAAGCCTTGCCTATCTATGTCATTCACAAGCACACAGGATGGCTCTGTACACATCTGTGCAACGAATGGACACTTTCCTAAAATACCAGTTCTTAGAGTGCCTAGGAACATGAACTCCATTGTTTGTGGCTAGGCAACGACCTTGAGGGACCAGGAATAGCTGGAAGGAGACCCTGTACTGGGTGCCATTAGGTCCGTGACTGAACCAGATGAGGAACATGGAAAGAGGGAGCTGGAAAAATGAAGCCTGGCAGGAGGGCTGGACCTGTCACAAGAGAAGTGGAAGAACAGGCTGCTCAGTGAAATGCCACTTGGGGTTTTTTCATGTTTTCAGACTCTGTTTTGTAATTTTTCCTTTTGGGAATCAAACAGGCTTCTGCTGCTGAGAATGGTTTTGCAGGGCCAAACCATTTGTATGTCAGATGTTGTTCTGGGGGTATGCATATATGTAATGCATGCATGTATGCATGCATGATTTCTGTTGCAGATAGAACTGTATGTATACATGTATATGCATTTATGCTAAAGGTGGAACTCAAGGCTTTAAGAATGTTAGGCCACCATGCTATCACTGAGCTATAGCATCCCCTCCACCCCAACTCCATCAAAATGTAGAGAAATTTATTGTTGTTGTTTTTATTTTGTTTTAAAGACAGAGTCTCTCTATTATGTAGTCCCTGCTATGTAGACCAGGCTCGCCTCAAACTGATAGAGATCCATCTGCCTCTGCCAATGTCTCCTAAGTGCTGGGATTAAAGACTTGTGCCACCAATTCTATTGTCATGTCCAGCTTCAAATGTAGAGAAGTTTTAACTTGAAAGTAACATTTCTACAGATGAATGGAAAAATCACCAAACCCACATTTTGGTATTACCTTTGTGGATATGAAGCACTCTGTGAATTGAACCGTTGACAAGCAGACCAGAGGGAGGCTATAAGAACAAAAACATGGTGGGCAGTTAATGTGATGAAATGCACAGACCTGTTGCTGGTGTCCATTTAACCTACTGTATCACAACCTGCCTCTGAAAAAGTCCGGGTGAGGACTGGGATGGCTCAGTGGGTAAGGTGCCTACTATACATGTGTGAGAACTTGAGTTTAGACCACCAGCATTAAAACAAAAAAAGCCTGGCAAGCACCACCCTTCTGTTACTCCAGCACTAAGAAGTGGAGACAAAGGGTTCGGGGCGGGGGGGGGAGGTTGTTGACTAGCCAGTCTAAGCAAATATCGAACTCCGGGATCAGTGAGAAACCTTTAGAAATAAGGTGGAGAGGTGCTGCAGAGATGCGTCAGTGGCCAAGAGTACCTACTACTCTTGTAGAGGACAAAGTTTGGGTCCTAGCAGCTACACGGCAGCTCACAAAAGCCTGCAACCTCAGCTCCGGGGGATCTGTGATAAACCAGTGTGCTTCCCTCTTAGGCTTGAAAGCCATCTTCCATCTAAAGCAAAACTAGGTTTGTTCCTGCTTATGATTAAATCAGTTTCTCAAGGATTGGACTGTGCCCCACCTATAACCTTAACTACAAATGGTTCTCTACTGCCTGTTCCAGGAAATGGCAACCATGCCTTTGTTTTACAAGGTTAGGACCCCCTTGCACTCACACCTTTGTTTCAGGAGGCTGTTATGACCAACTTTGTTATGCTTATGCTCTGCTGCTGTAACCCCCACCTATTTGCCTGCCAAACCCCCATTTGGAAACCCCCTACTCCTGAACTATAACAACCCTTATTTCACACATGTCCAATGTTGACATCTTGAACCCTGCCTTGGTGGGAGGTAGCCTATGTACACAAGTAAAAAAGTTTGCGTCAATTAATTTGGCCATGATGATTTGGGTCAGTGGTCTTTCTCCTGGCATCTACGGATTAACATCTCACCCCCTCTTTTGGACTCCAAAGGCACCTTCACTCAAGTGCACAGATAAGGCACTCACACACATAAACATCACCATAAATCTAAAAAGAGGAGGAGGAGGAGGAAGAAGAAGGAAAAAAAAAAGAGGAAAAGAAAGAAAAGGTCGAAGTAATAGTGGTCACCTGACATTGTCATCTGGTTTCCACACGGGAATGTGCACCTATCTACACATAAACCAAAAGGGCCGGGCCAATAAAACTAAACACACGTTACTTAGTTACTAGTTATGTTTCAAGATGGTTCATCCCATGGTCTAAGGTCCTAACATTAAAATTACTCACTCCTTTCTTCAATGTCATTTTTCAGATCCGAGGGTGAATAGCAGCCCGAGGACAATGGTCCACATTCAGGCGTTAGAGCCCTACTTAGCAGCTTCTAAATCGATTTTCTCTTACGTCCCCATTGTATGACCCTGAGTGAGTCACTTCTCTAAGCCCATTTGCGTCTCTGTAATACAGGACCTACACGTAAGTTTAAGAGCGCTTGTCAGTATTTAACAACGAACTGAAGGAACCGTACTCCAAATCCTGTGCAATATTCAGGACACACGCAACCAATGCATCAGGCACCAAGGTGGACTCAGATACACATGCGGCAAACGGCGGGCGCACCGTTTGTTTCCTCCCTCACCGGACCTCCCTGGTCTCACCAGATCCGGGTCCTGTGGGTCCCAGGATGTTGCGGCTACACACAGACAGCAGCCGCCCAAAAGCGCCTGGCAATACCGAGGCCACTATGTTAGCCGCCATTTCCCACGGTCCCAACCGGAAGCGGAAGCTCCGCGAACCTAGTGCGTCGACGGACTAACCCGGTAGGGAACAATTGGAGGAGAGAAACACAGGTCCTACTGGACTCACTAGCTTGGCAGGGAACACAGGAAACGAGTGGGTCCGGAATCACTGCCCGGGCAGAGAGCACAGGTCCTTTGCGGACTCTGGCCCGGTGGGAAAAACGGTCCGACGGGAACACGGGTCCTACAGAACTAACTGGCCGAGCAGGAAGCACCAGTCAGGGGCTGCACGGTGGAAGAGATGGCCTCCTCCACTGTGGAGAGTTTTGTGGCCCAGCAGCTGGAGCTGCTGGAGCTGGAGCGGAACGCCGAGGTAGAGGAGCGCAGGTAGGTTTCGCCGCGGGTCCCCGGGCCTCTGCAGCTCTCTTAGGTCGCTGCCCCGAGACGGTCTGGTATTTGCGGCGGGGCGGAACTGGCAGGGTCAGTGGGCAGCATGCAAAGTCAGCGCTTGGCGAAGACTGCAAAGCGGTGTTACTAGGACGTCGAGGCAGAAGGATCGGGAGATCAAGGTCATCATTGGTTATGGGTTAGCCTGAGCTACAGGAGACCCTGTAATGAGACTTTCTCCCCCCCCACACACACACCAAGGCGGGGGGAGAAAAGAAGAGCCCACACGGTTCTGTTTGGGATGATCAGAGCTAGATGGGGGAGTGGGAGAAGTTTTCCTTGGGAACCGGGGAGGTGATATACCTGAGCACAGCCTCCTAGAGGAAAGTGGATGAAGCCGATGTTATGTATGGTGCCTGAGCATTCCTGAAGAGCCAGCTTGTTTCTGGAGACTGTCTACAGGTCTGAAACAGACAGAGCCCGGGCTTCTGTACTTCGCAGGGCCGCCCCTATAATGCATTTCCCTAAGTACAGACAAAGGCTGGTGAATTGACTGGCCCAGGGTAACCCACGTGGAGGAAGGATTTGAAGCCAGTCTGTGAGATTACAGATGCGACCGTTGTTTGGTCGAGAGCCTGTTCAGTCATGAGGAAGGGTTTTTGCTGCTCTGGCGGTGTGACTGTGGGATCATGTTCCAGACTTTGCCTTCCTTTATCTGTAAAGGCAAGTGATTGCCACACCACATGCTTGCTCTGAGAGCGAAGTCATCTGCTCCAAGTCAAGCTAGGGCCTTGAACCACAGTTAGGATGTTGGGGTAAATGGTAGAAAGGGAGGCAGGTATAAATGGGAGGGCCCCACAGGACTTGTTGACAGATGGCAACGAGGCGTGATAATGCTTTGTGTCGGCTCACCTGGAGCAGGTCAGGCAGTACCTGTCTTGGAGCTGTGGGAGGGGCAGGGTTGGAGCCGAGTAGTTCCCTATTTCCTTTGGGGTATACTGGGTGACTGTAAGAAGAATTCCTTGCCTGATTTCTTTCCCTGCATAGGTAGGAAGAGGTGAGGGTACAGGTGCAAACAGTGAAGCTGCTCTCCTTGCTGCCTTCTAGGTCCTGGCAGGAACACAGTTCCCTGAAAGAGCTCCAGAGCCGAGGGGTGTGTTTGCTGAAGCTCCAGGTATCCAGCCAACGCACTGGGCTGTATGGACAGCGACTGGTCACCTTTGAGCCCAGGAAATTTGGGCCTGCAGTGGTGCTTCCCAGTAATAGCTTCACTTCTGGTAGGTGTTTGCTGTAGGCTTCTATTGGCTACTGCTGGTGTTCAGATCAAGGCTTGTGTACTCCCAAAGGCTGGAGGACAGACCCAGATGGAGTACGGAGCACAGCAATGAAAGCTTTCTACTTAGAACTCTGTCAGCATAGCTGGCTTTGTTTGTTGTTTTGGGACAGGGTCTGGAATGTACTATGTAGCTGAGGATGACTTTGAAACTTGAACTCCTGATCTTCCTGCCACTACCTACCAGGTGCTGGATTATAGGCCTACACCAGCATGCCTGCTTTTTTTTTTTTTTTTTTTTTTTTTTTTGGTTTTTGGAGACGGGAATGTGACTCAGTGTTAGCCCTGGTCCATCTGGAACTTTCTGTGTAGACCAGGCTGCACTAGAAGTTGCAGTGAGTTTTCTGTCTCTGCCTACCGAGTTCTGGGACTGCCAAGTATGCGGAAACACATTTGGCTGATAATACACTGTTTTTTGGTTGTCCAGATTGGCAGCTTTCTCTTTGCAGTGTGTGGGATGGAATCCAAGGCTTCTGGCATGCTGAGCAAGCACCCTGCCATTGCACTGCACTCTGAAGCTTTTTGACCACATGCTAGGGATGCAAGTTAGCCTCAGCCCTGAAAACTGAGAGCCAGAAGTGCTGGCCTGTTTTGAGTGGTAGCCTTCGATTACATTGACTTCGTAGACTCTTGTCCCAACAGTTGTCAGTTCTCCTTCTGGGTTTGGAGAAGATAAGATGGGAGGGGTGGGAAGGCGGTGAAGGAACCTGCTGGTGAGTGTCAGACCAAGCAGAACTTGAGATCTTGACCTTATTAAAGGAGCTACATTCAGTATGCCCCCTTGGAAGATGGGAACAAGAGTGCCTGCCACTGTCAGGTGTGGGGGAGCAAGATGGAGCCTGTGCAGTGTCTTCCCTGAAGCTGTGTGAAATGACTGGCATGCAGAATGATGGTTGGTGGAATTGGACCTCTGTGTAGAACATCAACAAGCTGAATTGGGTGTGTGTGGCTGTTGACCAAATTCAGGGGATGTGGCTACGGATCTTCCGGAGGACAGTCTCAAGTCTCAGTCACTCAGAAGCAGCAATCCTGAGATGAGGGATCCTGCATGAGGTGGGAGCCTGACACACAGCTCAGCTTCTGTTCCAGGAGCATTCTTGTTATATTCTGTTTGTCTTTCTAAAGTCAGGGAGGAGATTCAAGGCACAGGTGAAGCTCACACGTGGGTGAGGTATCTTGAGGGAGAAAGGTGCTTGCCACCAAGCCTGACTGATAACCTGAATTCAGTACCCAGGATCCACATGATGGAAGGAGGGAACCAACTTCTCACACATAAGCACCATAATACACAGAGAAAATAAATAAATGCATGATGTGAGATATATATATGCACACATGTGCAGACATAAGCATGCATATATACACTATTTAAAATATTCTGGAAATAGTCATATACCGTAGTATTTATCTGGGTTTGTTTTTTCAGGTGATATCGTGGGTCTATATGATACTAATGAAAGCAGCCAGCTGGCCACTGGGGTCCTGACCCGCATTACCCAAAAATCAGTCACAGTGGCCTTTGATGAATCTCATGATTTCCAGTTGAACCTGGACCGAGAAGATACCTACAGACTGCTGAAGCTCGCCAATGATGTCACCTACAAGCGTCTGAAGAAGTGGGTATTCCTGACTGGACAGAAGAGGGCCATTTCCTTGGGTGGGACTTGTGGGCACCCTTATTTTTGTTGAGGGAGGAAGTGGGCTGTCTGCTAAGGAGGTGCTGGGTGCTCTCAGGTGATGCTGTCCCTCAGCTGTCCCAAAGAGCTCACTTTGGCTCTGGTTCCTCACAGAGCACTGATGACACTGAAGAAGTACCACTCTGGGCCAGCATCCTCACTCATAGACATCCTGTTGGGCGGCTCCACCCCCAGTCCTGCCACTGAAATACGTGAGGATTTTTAATTTTCCTTTATAAGATTTATATTTTTATTTCCGTGTGTGTGTGTGTGTGTGTGTGTGTGTGTGTGTGTATGTGTGTGTACACGTGTGCATGTACACTGAGCACATTGCTTGGGAAGGTCAGAAGGGGCCACTGAGTCGCCTGGAGGTGGAGGTGGTTGTGAACTGCCCAACATGGCTGCTGGGAACCAACCATGGGTCCTCTGCCAGTACATGCTCTTAACCACTGAGACATCTCTCCATCTTCAGCTTCTTAATTTCTTGCCTGAAATTATGGAGAACAGTGTGACTGTGGGCTGATTCAGTAGGAGTTTACATTAAGTTTGAAATCTCTGCTTTGCTATCTTTGGATATGTTTCTCTGAGTGACTTTCAAGCTCTAGACTGTCTACACTGGACTCAGTACTGAGTAGTTCTCGTTGCAGAACTTGCTGCATAGCCAAGGTTGGCTTTCAACTTCTGATCCTTCTGCTTCCACCTCCCAAGTACTGGCGCTATAGGTATGCACCAACACACTGCCTGCGTGTTATATATGTATATGTGTGGTTGTATACACTTGCGTGCACCTGGGGGTTATGGCCAGAGGTTGCTTCCAGGTGTCGTCCTCAGTCCCTTTCCACCCTTTCTTTTATCTGCTTATTACTGTGTGCATGCTGTGTGCATGTGGGGATCCACTCCGTGAGTTGGTTCTCTCCATCTTTTACTGTGTTCTAGAGATTGAACTCAGATGGTGAGGCTTGTGTGACAAAGCCTTTACCCTGGGAACCGTCTCACTGACTCCAACTAATTTTTGAGAGTCAGGGTCTCTCACTGAACTTGGAGCTCACTGACTAGCTAGGTGAACTGGCCAGTGAGTCCCAGGGACCCACCTATCTCAACATCCTGGGGCTAGGACTGTAGATGCACTTCACTGGGCCCAGCTTTTACATCATGGTTTTGGAGACCTAAATGCAGATTTTCCTGCTTGTGTGGCAAGCGGTTTACCTACCGAGCTATCGTCCCAGCCCCACACCACATTTTAAAATGATATTCTGATTTTTTTTTTTTCAAGATGTTTTATGGCCTAGCAGTGGTGGCGAGTACAGGCAGATCTCTGAGTTAAAAACCAGCCTGGTCTACAGAGTGAGTTCCAGGACAGCCAGGGCTACACAGAGAAATCATGTCTCAAAACAGCAACAACAACAAAAGAAAGAAAAAAAGAAAGAGAAAGAGAAAGAAAGAAAAAGAAAGAAAAAGAAAGGAGATAGGTCTTACGTAGTTCAGGCTGGTCTCAAACTTACTACATGGCCAAGAATGACCTTGAACCCCTGACATGTCTCTACCTCCTGAGTTTTAGGATTATGAAGATGTGCCATCATACCCATGTCAGAAATATATTAGCTGCCGTTAAAGGCAGGTGTGTCCTGATTGTAGCATGTTATTTAATTAACATGCTATGTGCTGTAGAATGTGCCAGAAACTGGGGATTTGTAGTCCATGCTTTGTTCCCTATTCTTTCTTTGTAATGGTTAATAGGCTCCTTGCCTCTCACAAGTCCGGGTCAGTGCACTTTTCCTAAGAGCTTGGTGCACTCATCTGCTGGGTGTCTTCGAGTGGACGCCAGACAGAGCTGAGCATAAGAGCTCGTCAGGACTGGAGTACCTTGGTGGGGAAAGCACCTGCTGTGTAAACGTGAACTCCTGAGTTCTAGCATTCCTTCATGAGACAGGAGGTAGAGACAGAATTCCTGGGAGCTCAGAGGCCACCTGATCTGGCCTCTGCAGTGGTGAGCAACAGATCTCGTCTCAAACAAGGTAGAAGACAAAGAGCAACACCTGAGGTCCTCTGACCTCTACAAGGATACTGTCTGTCTCACACACAGAGACACAAACCCATATACATGCGTATGCACACACACGCAGGTGATTTTTTAAGAATGCATTGTTAATCATCTGAGTCTTCCATTATCCAAAACAAAGACACAGTCCTTGTTCTTTGTCATTTTTTGGTCACTTAAGAGTGATAAATGTTGGAAATGACTATGTGAAGGAACAGTTCCTTCACATCTGTTATTCTAGAGTGTGAATTGGCAAAGTTCATAAGAAGCAGGTTGTCAACATCTAGACATTGGGGCCTTATAATCCCTTTATAACTCACCCTATGGTGGCGCTCAGCAGCCACTAGTTGGATTATAATCAAATGGTGTGGTGCTTTCTTATAAAATGAGAAGAATCCAACAGCAGGCTGAATGTTGGTTCCTGTTCCTGGAGAAGTCTTGTTTTGAAAATGAGGGTTTAGGGCTGTAGCCCAATTGTGAGAGGGCTTGCTCAGCACCAATGAAACACTGGGTTCCATCCCCAGGTACGGTGGTAGAGTTTATAATTCCAGCCGTGGGAGGAGGGGTAGAGGCAGGGCATCAGAATGTGCAGAATTATCTTCATCTACAGAGAGAGTTTGAGGCTAGCCTAGGGCTTATATGAAACCTTGTTGTAAAAATAAAACAACAACAACAAAGGCACAAGCACACATTTAATCCCAGAACTTTGAGGCCGAGGCAGGTGGGTTTCTGAGTTTGAGGCCAGCTTGGTCTACATAGTGAATTCCAGACCAGCCCAGATTACAGAATGTCTCAAAGAACGAGAACACAGAATAATTCCGTGCAGTGCAGCTCAGCCTGGGCTCCAGCCAGCTCTGTGCACTACCTATTTCTGATGGCTGACAGTGGTGTTTCTCCTACAGCCCCACTGACCTTCTACAACACAACCCTGGACCCTTCCCAACAAGAAGCTGTGTCCTTTGCACTGGCGCAGAAAGAACTTGCCATCATCCACGGGCCTCCTGGCACTGGGAAAACCACAACCGTGGTGGAAATAATCCTCCAAGCTGTAAAGCAAGGCTTAAAGGTGAGCAGAGGGCTTTCCCTCCTCATCCATCCCTGTAGCTCTGGGTTTGTCAAGCTCTTCACTCACAGTCCAGCATGGCTGGTCAGGACTGGCCCAGGGCATTTGCAGGTTGAGTGGGCTGCTGCGCCCTGCAGGTTCTCCTAGCATTGCAAAGCAGGAACACCTGTCTGGATGCGTGGGGAAGGCTTGGGAGTCCTAAAGGTTGTTCAGCCTTTGTTGTCAGCTGGGCTCCCTCAATTTCCACACTCGCTGTGCTCTTGCTTTGAGTCCAGGTCCACAGTGGTGCCATGGAATTGAGCAGGGTCCCTTAAGAAACCTGCAGCAGGTTGAGGCAGATGGTAGGACTGTAGTTCATCAGGCACGTGGTTAACTCACAATATACATATGTACTGTGCATGCTCTCCTGCCCTTCTGAGCCACGGAGTACTGTTACGTGCTCCTGTTCACCCACATTGGTGTGGGCGCCCTGGTCCTCCAGGCATTCTGTACACTGTCAACAACCACACAAAAACCTGAGTGCTGGGGACCAGGAGACTCACCATGTAGAAAAGGCAACCAAGAAGCAGCTGTGCCTGGTTGTACGTTAGTGACCACATGAGCCGAGGGTGATTGGCAGAGCCACCTCTCCCCAGAGCTGCAGGGAGACCTGTCGCTGTCTGTGTCCACCAGTGTGTCTCCAGAGTGCCTTTGTGGATGTTTGGAGCCAGCAGGAGATGCTGACTTCGTAATGGGAGGCACAGAGGGTGTTGGCTGGTGCCTCCAGGTCAGCGTGTAGTGAGGCTGGTGCACTAGTGTTCAGAAGGGCGCACCGGAACACGTGGGCAGGATTGGATTGACGGAGAGTGGACTCTGCAAGATGGAGCCCACCCGAGCCCCTTGCTTCTGGCCCTAGTTACATGCTGGATATTTTTGTTTTGTTTTGTTTAAGTAAAAAGGGTTTATTTAGTTTTATTGTTGCGAAGGAGAGACAGTGGCCAGCTGTTGCCTTGCTGTGGCAGTGTGCAGTCTAGAAAAGGGAAGGGAAGCAGGAGCTACGCATGTATACTGGGGCTGTCTTCAGGATGTTGGGTTAGCTTTGTGGGAGGTGCTCCTGTTTTGGATGCACTTCCTCACCTCAGCGTGAGAATTCCCAGATCGTGATTCTAGGAGAGTTCCTAGAATGTCCTGGGGCACCAGCTCTCAGGTCCCAGACGGGAGCTATTAGTATACAGCAGGCTTCTCTTCACCTCCCATAACGGGCTTCCATGCTTTCCATAGACTGGCTACAATTTCAGAATACAATCCAATCTTGTTTGCGCTGTGCAAGCAAGACGGACAAACAAGATGCAGAAGTCAGAAGTGTGTTTCATAGGCTGCCAACTCCAAAAGTTGGGAGGGGGAACTCACACCATTGGCTAGCGGGAAGTATAGGGTCTCTTCCCAAAAACCACCTGCAGCTGGGGGAGGCACTCTCACCTGGTGAAGCCTTGCTAAAGCCATAACTAAACTCATGGCTGTGCTGGCCACTTTACCAAAATGCTGGCAGACAGGAGGTGGTAAAAGAAAGTGGGTTAATGTTGGCCAAAACTGGGGAGAGGAAACTCCACAGCTTCTCTGGCTTTCCTCTACCTGAATCTCTCTGTCCCTCTCTCCACCCCCTCTCTCAGCCTCTCCTCTCTCTTTCACTCTCTGTCACTTTCCCTCCCTCTCTCTTCTTCCTCTTTTTCCCTCTCCACCTCCCTTTTCCCCTTCCTCTCTTTCTTCCTCTTTCCTGTTCTCCCTGTTTTTCCCTCCCCTCTCCCTTTCCCCTTCTTTTTACCTCTTCTCCTCTTCCGTTCTCCTTTCCCCCTCTCTCTAGCTTCACTATGTGGTGTTGAACCCACACTGACCTTCCGGCCTCAGCCTCCTGAATGCTGGGGTCACAGGTGCACGCCACTGCATTCATGGCCCTTGGAGTCTTCAGTGCAGTCACAAGCCAGCTGGCAGCATTCAGTGCTTTGGAGATGCATAGGCGATAGATACCTGGGTTCCAGTTACGGGAGATGGCCTGGGTTGAATGCCATGCACCTTTGAGAGCGTGTATTTACTCTTTCACCTTATCAGTGCACACTCTCTGTCCTTTAAGGGGTGTTGTTTGGTTTAGTGTGTTGGTGACTGGCTTTGATTAAGAAAGAAGTTGCTGGAAGCCTGACTCTGCTCCCCAGGTTCTGTGCTGTGCTCCCTCCAACATCGCTGTGGACAACCTGGTGGAGCGCCTGGCTCTGTGCAAGAAGCAGATTCTGCGCCTGGGCCACCCTGCCCGCCTCTTGGAGTCCGTTCAGCAGCACTCACTGGACGCAGTGCTAGCACGCAGTGACAATGCCCAGATTGTGGCTGACATCAGGAGGGACATCGACCAGGTCATTGTAGGTATCATGGAGCCAGTGACCCTGGCATGAGCTTGTCTGAGCGTCAGTCTTTAAGGAGTCAATGTTCTGTTGTGTCCAGGTTCCTCCTGCTTATCTGCCTGTCTGTTCACTTAATAATTTATAATCAAGGGGCTGTGGGCATGGCTCAGGGTTCAGCGCCTCCCTAGCTGGCACAAGGCCCTGGCCACAACCCCAGCATCACATAAAATTGAGCATAGTGCCTCAGGCCTGTCACCCCAGCATTTGGGAGGTAGAGGCTGAAGGATCAGAAGTTCAAGCTCATCTTGGGTTGCAGTGAGCTCAAGACCAGCCTGGGCTACCCAAGACTGTTGGACCACACTTTAGTTTGGACTGTTTGCTGCGCATGCAGGTAGAGAACTACACTGGGCATGTAGTAAGGATCCAGCTGCTTTGGGGGTGTGGAGTAGGTGAGAATGTGTCCCTGGGCTGGGGGTGGTGCTGGGCAGAGTGTGGGGCCCTGGAAGCAAGCATTTCATCAGTGCCTCCTCTGTGCTAGCCAGGTGGGCTGGCTGATGCTGGCAAGATGAAAAATACTCAGAAAAGCAGGTCTCTTCAAGAATTGTTGGTCCATTTCCCTACCCATCCCAGGGACACCAGGGCTTGCTGAGCAAGGTGGTGGTGGTGGGCTCCAGGTGAAGGGGCTCTGTTCTAACAGTTGGTGCTTATAACCTGGATCTCTAATTCACATGCCTGTCTGAGTTTTCCTTAGTTTCCTGAGCTCAACTGTATTCTCCCATTCAGCAATCCCCCTGCCTCACCTTGACACTCCCTTTTGGCCTCAGCACTGGGGAGTGATGGCAGCAGAGAGGATGCCACGGCCAGGAGTCCACTCACTCTGGGAGAATGGAGGCTGCATGGTGCAGATGTCAACCTGGGGCAGATGGTGTGCAGGGAGATGGGAACAAGGGTACTTGTGCTGCCTGGCGCTCAGGCAGCATACTGTGCCACCCCTGCCCACATGTGGGCATCAGCGAGCTCAGCCTCTGGTTGAAGTTTCCACCGGAGTCCAGGCTGGCACTTTCTTGTCTGGAACACCAGCTGTCTGTTGTCCATGGTCACAGTTACAGCTGCTAACTCTCCCTCCAGCCCCTTGGTCGGGGGGACCAGCCTCTGTGGCAGGTGGGGTTTGAGGCACTTATGCGGCTGTGTGCCTCCTTCACCATGATTCTGCTGTTTAGTGCTGTCCCAGGAATGTGCTGAGCTGGATCGCTGACAGCCTGGGAGCAGGGTGATGGGAAAGAAGTGCCAAATCCTGGTGGAATAATCACAGACTCTTCTCCTAGGGCAAGAACAAAAAGACCCAGGATAAGAGAGAGAAAAGTAACTTTCGAAATGAAATTAAGCTGCTAAGGAAGGAACTGAAGGAGAGGGAGGAAGCAGCCATAGTCCAGAGCCTCACTGCGGCAGATGTGGTCCTAGCCACCAACACAGGTGAGAGTACAGCCCTCCTGCCGGCATGGCCTTGGCCGTGGAGTCTGCACCCAGCTGCTGCTCTTCCTGGGCCTCACAGAGCCACTGGGCTGAGATTCCAAATGTAGGGAGCCTTGCAACTCAAAATCAGTGTCTTCCACGGGGCTGTTCTGAGTGTTCTCTCTTGCTTGTGTGTGTGTGTGTGTGTGTGTGTGTGTGTGTGTGTGTGTGTGTG